TGTCAGGGCTCCCTCAGCCCCCCAAACCTCCTCAGCCCCAGCCAGGCTCCCCAGCTCCCTCAGCCCCAAAAACCTCCTCGACCAGCCAGTCCCCTCAGCCCCAGCAGGGCTCCCCAAACCTCCTCAGCCCTGTCAGGGCTCCCTTAGGCTCCCATATCTCCTCAGTCCTCTGGTTCCCTCAGCTGCCTCAAGTCTCCTCACCCTGCAGATCCCCTCAGTTCTCAACCCGCCCCACTCCCTCAAGCATCAGCAGCTCACCTAAATTTCTGCAACCCTCAAATCTCCTCAGCTCACTCAAATCTCAGCCCGCTTACTTCACCTCAGTACCCCCAAAATCTCCACAGACACTCATTTTCCCTCAGCCCACCCAAAGTTCCTCAGTGCTCTGGATCTCCTCAGTTCTCCTCTGACCCTGACAAGTCTCAGATCCCTCAAATCTCAACCGCACGGTTTCCTCACTGCCTCCAAAATTTCTCAGTGTCCTCACCTCCCCAAATATCCTCAGAATCCCCCAAAATCTCCTCAAAGTCTCCAAATCTCCTCAGCCCCCCAGTTCCTCTTAGCCCACGCTAGGTCCCCCTAGACCCTCAGTTTCACTCAGATCCCCTAAATCTCAGACACCCCCTAGATCTCCTCAGACCCTGAGTTCCACTCAGATCCCCCCAAATCTCAGATCCTCCAGATTCCTTCAGTTCCTTCCATTCTCCTAATTCTCCCCCAGCCCCTCCAAATCTCCTCACCCCCCAGTCCCTCAGAACCTCCAGGGACTCCTCAATGTCCCCACCTCCCCAGATCTCCTCAGACCATCCCAAAATCTCCTCAGGCCACACAAATCTCCTCAGACTCCTCATAATCTGCTCAGACCCCCCAAAATCTCCTCAGCCCCCAGTTCTCCTCCTGTTCCCTAAAACTCTTCCACCTGATTCCCCTCAGCCCCTCCAAAAGCTCCTCATGTTCCCAATTCCTCTCAGCTCTCAGAAGCTGCCACCCGTCCATTTCCCCTGAGCCCACGCAAAACTCCTCAGAATTCCTGATTTCTCTTCAGCCTCCCTCAGTTCTCCTCGATCCCCCTGAACTCCCTTAGCCCCCCAAATCTCTTAGCCCCTCCAGGTCCCAGCCCTTCCCAGTTCCCCTAATACCCCACCTCCCCAGTTCCTCTAGTCCCCCCAGTTCTCAGTGCCCCAGTTCCCCTCAGTCCCCTCCCTGGTGCCCCTCAGCTCCTCTCTCTGCCTCTGCCACCCTCAGTGAGGCTCCACAGCCCCCTCAGGGACACCCCCAAGTCCTCCCCGTACCTCCTCATCATCCTGAAGATCCTTCCATTTCCCAGGGGGTCTCCAGCCCCTCTCAGGGTCCCCTCAGCTCCTCTGTGGGTCTCTTGCAGCCCCCCAAATCCACCCACAGGGGAAGGAAGAGCGGGGCAAATCCCACCCATTCCTCTTCTCCTATGTCCAGGGGATTGACCTTGGAGCTTTTGAGTTGTTATTTTTAAAATTACTTTAAAAAAATAAAAAAAAATAAGGCTCTTTTTCATGTTTTCCCAAAATGTTCTGTCACAGAGGAGGATGGAGAGGACAGGGCTGTCCTGGAAGGAAATGGTGCCTCCGAGAGAGGTGGGAAACGGGAAAGGATTTGGGATGGGATGGGATGGGATCCCAAGAGGTCTCCACCACAGAGTGGACATCACTTTGCAGCTGCCCAGAGTGTCAGAAGCCTCTGGAACAGGTCCTGGCCACAGCAATGGAGCTGGGATAGAGAAACCATCCCCTGTGGGACCTCTGGGTCTGTCCCTGGCCCTCCCCGCATTCCCACTGCTCTGTCAGTCTCAAGCTGGGATCCCCCATCACCCAGCATTTCCCCATCCTGGAAGATCCCCAGATCCATTAATTATCCATGACTCAACTGAGAACTTGAGCCAGCAGCTCCAAAACTCCCTTTTAATCTGTTTTTTTGGATACTGACAACCAGAAGTTGCTGCCCAGCATTGGTGTCACCCCAAAATGGAACACTGGGAGAGCCTGGATCCCCCCCAGATCTTCCCTGATGTCCATGTTTGCCCTTGCTGGGTTAATTTCCATCAGGGCTTTCACTTCTGCTGTGGGATTT